GAATCTACGCAAAGAGCACAGCAACATTGAATCACAAGGAATTGAATCACCTGTTTATTGTAGCACTATTTACATCAGGCAGGATAAGGAAACAGCCCAAAGGCCCAAAAACAGATGACAAGATCAATGGTATACACACACAGTGGAAAACTACTCAGCAATCAAAAAGATACACTCATGGCATTCATAGCAACATGGATAGAACTGGAAGGTATTATGCTCAGTGAAATAAGTAGGAAGGGAAAAGAAAAGTATCATTTGGTTTTACTTATAGGAGGAATAAAGGGGAACCAAATAAGGAATCAAGAAAAAATAAATTAATTAGTAGGCAACTATAAATCAAAGATATTCTGGAGCAGAAGGAAAGGGGGAGGGATCAAACTGGGAGGGAAGAGTACAGGAGACTATGGTGCATAGTTGAATTAGGGGTGGGAATTTCACGGGGACTACATCTGTACAAAACTGAGAATGATGTAAAATATATACATACATACAAATTTGAAAGATTAAAAAAATGAATTGTAATGAAATAATTAAAGGCTGGACAATTAAAACTCATGATACATATGACATGTAATCGCGAGGCTACAAAACCATCTATTTTTCTACTTCCTCCTCAGCAATTTGGAATGTTACTTACTTTGAATCTTTTTATATAACTGTTAAAAATGTTGCTGATGGGATAGAAATTTACTAAATTTACAGTAGCCATTTGTCGAAGACCCTTCTAATGCTATCATTAAATTCTGGCAATGGTTTTGGCAGGCAACATTTATTTTCAAAAGGAAAAAGAAAATTAGCTAGCTTGACTCAGTTAAATACTCAGGACACATCCGCTTGCATCTCAGTTTCACTGACTCAAGCTGGTTAATTTTCTTTACTCCTTTGGTAAAACTACCCTATGGCTCTGGGATGAAAGGCAGCGGTGGAGAGCTCTCTCTCCTTTTATCTTTGCCAGAAAAGTATTCATTCCAGTTAGACTCTGACGCTAGGCAGCATGGCTCAAGAGCAGTAGAATGTGGTCATATTTTTATCCATCTGAAGCAAACTGCTGATCCATTGAACCAAACAAATGTGAATCTCTGGGCTTTATTTTATTTTATGTTTTATTATAATTATTATTTATCTCTTTGCATTTCTGCCTCATAACAGAATAAAAGCAACTTACACAATTTGAGTGGAAAAAATCTCTATCAAAGAAATATAGAACATGAAGTCAGCAAAGAGGCATTTATGGTGACTATATATCATCTATAGCAGTATTGGTTTAAGAATAATATCCAATTAAGGAAATGACAAAAAAAAAAAGATGGAAGTGAAGACAATAGTCTCCTCCCTGCACTGTTATATTTCCACTCCCTCTTTTCATCAAAAGGAAGAACACGCTTGTCTTGGTGAAGTCAGATTCTGGGACATGAGCTTATTAGTTGCACTGAGGTCTAATCTTCAAATCTCTCTAAAGTCATTTAAGAAAACACAAGCCCAGTGAAAGAAGGTGCCTGATTTGCAGGGGGCTGGCGATCCTTTACTAACTCCAGCTAACTGCATCCTCCTCTCTGCCTGTAGAAGGGCCAGAGCCACTGAACAGATGGGCAAGGATCCCCCTGCTAGTGAGGACATGCTTCATGGAATGTTTTCGTTTCCCCATCAGGCTGAAGTGGAAAGCTGATCTAATGCCTGAAAAACATTCTTACTTCCTTCTTTTTCTTTCCCTCACACATTTCTCTCACTTCCTCTCAACCTTCACGTTAAGGCACATTCATTGACTTTGGCTTAAAGTTGGCAACATTAATATCGTATGGTGTCACTTACGTGTAGAATATAGAGAAAATGACCAAAAGGTCAAGAAAAAGACAAAGCTTGTGAGCTGACCAGAGACCTGAGTCATCCAGCGAGGGGGAGGGAGGGCTCAAAACAGGGCAGCGAAGAGCACAGGCTTCTGGTGATGGTCACAGGTCCTGTAGTGTTGGAAGAACTATGTGGACAACCCCTGTGGGGAGACATTAAATACTGTGGAGAAATAAGCAACAACTCAAACATAAATTTAAAGAACACCAAGAATCCCAGTAAGTTCGGCAATATGTAGATAAATAGAATTTATTAGAAGGAGGGATACTCTGGGGCCCGAGTCCAGACCAGTGTTATAGCTCTGTCTTCTTGCAGGTGCTTCATGGGGTTTGTGGGGAGAGGGCCCCAGTACAGAGAACACCTGCTTTCTTACTTGATATAACCTCTGTGCATTCATCCCCAAGGCCCCTTCATGGATGGAGAATAGTCTTATGTGGGCAAATTTTTGACACCGAATGGCATTACTCCCCCAGCTCTAACTGATCACACAAATGACTAACCTAAACAATGATTGACATGGCGAAAAGTATTAATTTCTTCTGCTGCAGTGCAAATAAATCATTCCGAGACACAGATGTCCCCCTGGTATTTGTTAATAATTCTGATCCTTCACCTCTCTCCTGTTCAGGCTTGGACATTTTAGAAGGCTGGGTAGAGGTCATCTTCACTACATCTGGTCAGTAAGTCTGACCCAGTAGTTTCTGCCTCTTCCCTCCCTCCAATGGACGGCCCTGGCATCTTCTGTCTGCTCTCCAGTTGGCCATGTCATTGTAAGGGCCCCATGGCCACACAGCCACTACAAGCTACAGTCCCGCTGGCTCACCACCATGCACCCCTGAACAAGTGTAGTGTCCAGGGTGTTTGGAGCAAGGTGGTTGGGGCACTAGTTTCAGAAATCAAGATTATCTTGTTTGCCATTTATTTTTTAGATATTTTTAGCTTTTCATATATCAAACATACTAGCCCCGAGGGAGGTAAAATATGAATACTAGATCACCTATTTTCAAAAGAGCTTTGAACACAAGCAGGGGAGGCAGAATGTACAAAATGAAACACCAAAAATAGAATATGGAGCTGGTCAGGGTTGGGGCAACAAGGGAATCTGAATACCATGCTTGAGTGACCTCTAAAATCTCATCCCCACAGCCTGTTCTTAGCTGTAGGGTAAGGGGGTAAGGGAGCAAAAATATATAGAATCCCTTGCTGCATGGCAGTGTTCTCACGCAGTTCTGTGAAACTCAGCTCTTTGTTCTTAGAATCGTTGAGGCCCCTAATTGGAGGGACAACCGGTGTCCATGTGCTCTGGCAGTGACAGCCCCTCCACTCTTCATTGTTCCTCTCCCCAGACCCCCAGTCCCACTCTCTGTCTCAACCCTCCCTCACTCCACTACTCCACAGACCTGCTTTAGCTCCCCCCTTCTTCCATGGTGTCACCCCCACTCTTGCAGCCAAATCCAATGGGGCTGTGGACATCAGGTCCCACAGTCTGCTGGGTGGAGGTGAGAGGGGCTTTGGCTATGACTGGCCCCTCTTGGAGAATTTTGGTCTTACTTGAGAAGGAGGAAACAGTGTCATAGAGGAACTTTTGGAGAGTGGGGAAGATGAGTAAGATACAGTAACGGCACTTACAGTACCTCATTCAATGTTGTGCCCTGGGCATGTAGGGAATCCTGGAGATGGCTCTGGGAGGTGTGAACACTCGGATGGGGAGCTGGATTTCCCTCCAAGGGGACAGAGAAGTGGACGGTTCCAGATGGATCAAGCAGGATCCCAGATGGCGCTTGAAGGACCCCTGAAAGCAGCTGCTAGAGCAGATGGTGGGTGTGGTGGTCAGCCCCTGGGGTTTCCCGTCCCTAGTGCGAGGATCGATGGAATCAGCTCACAGACGAAAACACCTGAGTGTCTTGGGACAGCTTTGGTCCCTTGGTGGTCCCTTAGCCTATATTTAAATTCTTGCAATTATTTTGGTGACAAAGTAGAGGAATTGCAGTGAATTGAGTTTCAGTGCTACCTTTTATTTGTTAAATGAGTGTCACCATGAAACTTTGATATAGAGTTTCTATAAGAATGCAGGCTGTGCACAGGATTTATTGCTCATGTGGAAAAAATTAGATTTGAATTAAAAATATCTTTACATGTTATCTATTCCCAAGGACATTTGAAGACAATGAACATTAAAGCAAAGGATAGTTTACTGATAATCCTCAGCCTAACATATATTCTTTATTTTAAAGTATATAGAAATTGGGAAGTACACATTTTATTGCTTAATGGTCAAATCTGTGGTCTTTCGGTGTCAAACAAGTATGTGCTTTTCAAAATGTAATGGTGCAGAGTGGATTTATGTGATGCCACCCCGGGAGAGGTCAGAAAGTGCCTACTGTGTTAAAGATTGACTAATATTGACTGCTTATATTTGTGCTGTAGATTTGGTTTTTAAAGTTAAAACCCCTGACAATGTGGATTTTGACTCTCATTTAAAAATTAAGCAAAAACAAATAGACATCTATGTGAAAAATATAAACATGAAATACTGCAGAACTTTCAAGGTAACAACTTTTCTGGACATTTCAGCAGTTACCATGTTCTTATTCCTTGTTTTTATTAATGATGGTATCAGAAGTTAATTTGGTATCAGAAGTTAATTTTTACAACACATTCACCCCCATAGTTATTATGGTCTTTCCCCCCTGAATCCAGCTGTCCGTGTGGAATATTGGCTCATTTGCTTGGACAAAGTAATAATCTCTCTGTCTTTGAAAAACACACATTGTTTTCTGACTCAGACAGCTTACTTTTCCAGTAGCCGTTTTAATTCCTTCACTGTTACTTCTGTCTAGGGAGAATGAACAAGTTTGCTGAAAGTACTTGATTTCAGCTGTTTTTCTTTTAAAAAGAATTAAGTATCTGTCCTTGACTCCCCCCCCCTTCAGTGCTAGAATCAATCTCTGTATTGCAATGTTGTAGAGTGTACAGTTAAAAAAATAAAACCTTCCTAGACTGTATTTAGGCATGTTCTGATTTCTAGGTTATTAAAACAAAAAAGTTTTGAATCCTTAGGAATAACAAGAAGGAGACAGTAACAAAAAAGAGAGACATTGTCAAACTTTTAATAAGGACATGTGTTTCCTTTTTTCTTTTTTTGTAAATCCATACTGCCTATGATTTATAATATGGTTAAATATTTTACAGCCAAAAAGTAGCATGACATTAAAAATATACAGAGACTGGGCATTTTCTCCACTTGTGCCTTACACAAAAGAAAAAGCTGATGCTGAAACCCACTGGTGAGGTTGTACAAGAATGAAAAAGTCTCTTCTGCATAGGCAGCTTTAGGCCGTTCCCCTTTAGTACCTGCTAGACAAATCACAGAGGCCCCCTAGAGGAAAGCAACAGATGATCTCTTTGAAGGTTTTCCTCAGTTCTTGGCTCCGGAGAGCATAGATCAGGGGGTCGATGATGGAATTGCACATGATCAGGATGAGATACAAGTTAAAATGAGACATGAAGCACACGCAGTATGGATTCTGGGGACAAGAGATGTAGAAGATCAAGTGGAGGAAGAATGGGGCCCAGCAGACAACAAAGACCCCAATCAAGATGGTCAAGGTAACAGCTCCCTTCATGTTCGCACCTTGGCGGATGGTGCCCGTGCCCGGGAGGACAGCGATCCTCTTGATGTGGAGTCTGGCCATCAGGAACATGTGCACATACAGAGAGGCCATGAGAGCCAGCATGGTGAAGAACATGGTGATGAGACAGATGATGACAGCGCTGCTGTCTGAATAAATGATGAACAAGATGCCCGAGACCGTGCAAGCTGCCCAGATACAAGTGATGATGATCCCCACCCGCTTCACCGTCATGATGTTATGATACTGGAGAGCATAAAAGATAGTAAAGTACCTGTCCACTGCAATCGAAAGCAGGCTGCAGATGGACGCAAGCAAGGAGCTGCAGATCACTGAGTCAATGACATTGTCAATATTCACTGTGAAACTCTGCGCGTCCGTATCTGTACTGTTTAACAGGGTGATGACAATGGTTTCGGACCCGTTGGACACACTCACCAACATATCGGCCACTGCCAGGCTACAGATGAAAAAGTACATGGGAGAGTGCAGATTCTTGTTCTTGGCTATGGCCACAATCACCAGAATATTCTCCAACAAACTTATGACACCCAGAGTCACAAAGACCTCAGGAGAGACAAAAAGTTGCTCGTAGCAGCCTCCGTCTGAGTAGCCTTTGCCCAAGGACTCACTGGCGTTGCTGTGCGGTCGGTAGGTGCTGTGGTTCCAGACGTGCAGAGAGGTGTGCATCCCAGGCTGGTGGGTGGAGTTCATCCTGGCCAAGTGGAGTCAGATCCGCCCAGACTTGGGGGAAACCCGCGGGCTCAGGTGGCCTCAGTGGCTTTCTCCTTCTCTTTCTTTACAGATGACATTGGCATATCGGTGGGGAGTGGCTGGCCTGTGCCCCGAAGCTGGCCATGGAGTTTTCACTCTCTTTCAGGGTCCCCTCTGTTCAGCATCACTTCAAAACCGCGGGCTTCAGCAGCTCATGCTCAGTTGAAAGTCTGCCTTTTGCTTTTTTGCTCTCGTTCTCGCTTGAACTTTTAGTCTCAGATTCAGGTGTCTGCCAGATAGTTTCCCAGGAGCTGCGGGGCTGCTGGCCGAGGACAGGGTGAGCCAGGCTCTCTCAGTCAGCTGCCTCTCTGAGGTGTCAGTTTGCAACCTGAAGCCTTGCTTTGACTGTAAGGAGAGGCTGCTGATTTTTGTGGTGTGTGGAAGGGGAAAAAAAAAGCCTTCTGACCAATCCCGGAGCAGGAGGGAGCCAGCCACACCCACTGCCTTCGGAGATACAAGCCACAGAGTAACCGGGATTCAGATGCAGCGGTTCCTGTGGACAGAAAGCCAGCGGGATGTGAACATTGGATTTCTCGTTTCAAGTTTTCAAAGAAAACAATTTGGTGCCTAGAGGACATTCTTTGATATCACAAGCCATCTTGAGGCAGACAGGTTGATCCCTGCCTAAAAGAGAGAGAGGAGTGTGTGTGTGTGTGTGTGTGTGTGCGTGCGCGCGTGTGTGTGTGTAAAATGAAGTATGTGAAACATACCGACGTCTCTTCCTGAAATATGCACTGTCTTTTTGGCTGGGAAACTGAATGTGTAAACCCTTTCAATTTCTTTTCAGTAAAACTCAGGCAGCAATACTTCAGCTTAAAATGAAACACAGGGAGACAATTGTACAATACGTTACTGATGGAAGATTTAGGTAGGTAACTACAATGCATTATCAAAGGGTTCAAGACCGGCTTTATTTCTTGGGCACAAATGTCTTACACTCCCTTCACATTTGAATCCACCAACTACATTGAACTGTGACACCAAAAAGCAATAAATGTTACCATACTAGCTGCTGAAATATTGGTGTTTATCGCCCTTAGCATCTGGCAAACTGATCTCAACTTTCCAATGTTTTTAAAAAGATTTATTTATTTATGCATACAGAACTTGGGGTACAGGGGCAGTGAGAGGATTCACCAGAGACAAAGTGGGGAGCAAAACAGGCAGATCAACGAAGTACACTGCTGAGGGGAGCAGCCGGTGAGACAGGAGAGGTCTGCTGCACCATGTACCTCACCTCTGGGGCTGTAAATCGAACTCGAACTCGCAATGAAGCCGTTCCAGCCAGCTTGCACCTGTCCTATCCTGCTTGCCACCAGGGTGGGCCCTCAACTTTCCAATTTTTAAAGGAGCTATTATTTATAAGGAATAAACCCAGTTACATGGAATCCTTTCTTTTCTCTCTTTTGGGTGTGTATGAGTAGTGAATTTCCTGATAAATAAGCAATTGAGAAGGAGTCTATTAATTTGCTTAAACATCAGCAAGTCAACAGACAATAATCTTCCTGAATCAATTTCTTTGTGCTTTATGATGATAGAATCGTTCCATTTGTTCCGACTAACAATCAGAGTGTCTGAGTGCTCTATCTTTCTCAAAAATCCAGCCAATCACTGGATTTGATTGTTATTTCTTTTTCACCTTACCAAACTCACTTCTTTATATTCTTCATAGAACTTTATTGCAGGCCCATCCCATGGAAGTTAACTTACACGCTAACTTGCATACACACTGGAGATTTTCTGAGGAGTTCATGCTCATCATTCCATTTGGAAGCCTCTCACCCTGTATTTGTGAAGGCACCACCACTCTCACAAAACTTTGCATGAGATTTCCTGAATATCATGAGCTGGAAACAATGACCTATCCCTGTTGCTTTTTGTTTTTATCTTTTTTTTTTTTAACTTTCTCTGATTCATATACCAAAAATTTACTACCTGAAAAATCAAAAGCATAAAGTGTAAAATTAAGTGGGACTTTTTATCTATTCACAGAATCATACAGTCATCATCACTTTGTATTTCCAGAACATTTTCATCACCCCACTAGTAGTTATTCCCCATCATGCTCCCTCATCCTTTGAAATGCTCAATTTACTCTGTCTCAATGCAGTTGCCTTTTTCAGACATTTCATATAATCTTAATCATGCACAATGTGGCTCTTGGTGAGTCACTAAATTTTACTTAGCATAACATGTTCAAGATTCTCTGATGTTATGGCAAGAATCTGGGTTTAATTTCTTCATATAGCTGAATAACATTCTATTCTATGGCTAGACCATCTGTTGTTTACCCACTTGTCATTTGAGGACATTTGTGGTGTTTCCAGTCTAACTGTTGGCAGCAGTATGGTCATAGAAAGCCTTTCAGCATTATTCTAAGAAGTCATAGTTTCAGATGAACTTGTATGATGCTAAGTAGTTAAGCTGATCCAGGCATTGGTGGTAGGATTGAAGATAAGTGGATACTTCCTATACAACTAATCTGAAATTTGCAACATGTTGATTTCTTGTATGTGTGGAAGGAGGAGAGGAGGGAGTCAGTTCATCTAAGCAGGGGAAGCTTAATTGTAATTTGACAATTCCTACAAAATACTATCACTGATATGATAATAGTAATTTTAAAAATTATCTCTGCTTAGTCTTCTAAATGTTTGGAGTTTTCCTTACCATATTGGGATAAGAGCCATTTTGAGAAGAGATTAGTCCATTTTGGATGAAGTACATTTGAGGTATCTATGGATCACCCCCAAGAGGTAAAGGGAGCCATAAGTAAATTAATTATTAGTACATGTCTATCTAGAGCCAAAGTTGAGATCCAGATTTGGGAGTTATTAGAATGGTGATTTAACTCTATTATAGAAATTGAGAGAACCGGTATACAGACAACAAAAACAAGTGATCATATGTCCACTTGTCTGGTGGAGTGTTGACTGGCTCAAGAACATCATAATATGTGAACAAATGTTACAGCTGTTTTTGGAGCCCTTAGGCAATCAAAAAGCTTTTCAGGTCAATGTCTAGAAAGCCAACACGTTGATTTATGTCCTAAAAGTCCTGAGGTGCAAAACACAATAAGACTTTATATACACTTCTTTGAATGAAAATATTTTACAGCTATACCGCAATTTTGAAGACTTAAATGTGCTCTCAAATAATCAGGCTTTTCATTCATGTGTGTTGATTAGTCAAATATATCTATTGCATATTATATCTGCATTATTTCACTGCCTGCTGCCTTGAGTTTTTGTCATGATTTATATCATCGTTTTGCATGCTGATATGACTATCAGCAAAGGGAAGACTAAGTAAGTATTTCTGAACAAGGATTGTTTGTATTTGGAATTTGTATACAAAAGAATTTCATTGAATTGCTTTAAATGGTGGTATTATATAGGATCATAAGCAGTGGACATTTGTAGTCTTCAGTTAATAAAAAACAACTTTTCTTATCCTTAGATAAATATGAGAGCAAAACATACTGTTTTCATTGCTTACCTCACTGTCACTTATTAACAACTCTTATAATATGGAGTAAAAGGTGCCCTAGTTTTTTTTTAGGTTAATGAGTCAAATATTATTATTCAAGTGTGGTAAATCCATATAATCTTCTAAAAGTAAGCACCTCTCTCTGTTTATAGATTTTCTGACTTGTTCAATCAGTGTGACATAGTCAAACCAAGATGGTTCCAGCTACTAGACCCAAATCCCTTTAACAAGATTAATAACAGATTTTAGTCCTTTGGAAATTAAATAATATTCTTAGCCTTCAATTGCTCCTATTTCTCCAGTAAACAGCATGATTCAATGTTAATTTGTTGCTCTAGGATATAACTGTGATGTACTTTTAAAGGTTTAGAACTTTGGAAATCTATTAGTCTGTTATTGTTTGTGGTTATTCCTCTGATATTGTTTGTGGTTATTCATAGCTTTTACCTTGGGGAAGTTTCCATAACAAAGACTACAATATTAAACAAAATTCACTTCTTTCAAGATGAGCGGTGTATCAAATGGACATATAGTCACTCAGATTTTAACTTTTCCTTGTATATGACGTTGACATTTTGGAGGACTTTTTTTTTTTAAAGATTTATTTATTTATTCATATAGAATTGGGGTACAGGCCAGAGATGCGGAGGGTGAGAGGACTCACCAGAGGCAGAGGGGAGAGCAGAACAGGCCTCACCAGAGGCAGAGGGGAGAGCAGTGGCGGGCCAGGAGAGGTCTGCCACGCCATGTGGTCTCCTCCGGGGCAGGCAGGAATCGAACTCATGTGGACGGGCTTAAGCTTCTCAGTGCTGTGCTTTAACCCGCTGCGCCACCGGGGAGGGCCAACATTTTGGAGGACTTTTAACAGCAACAACAACATGCTCAGATACTAACGAGTCATCTTTCTCTCTGCTCCATTGTGCTGGCTTCTATTCCTCCATATCCCATAACATTTTGTATTTATATATAATTGGAAGGAATGGGTTTCCTTTGAAAATCAAACTTAGGCATGGATCATTTAACTGCCTGTCTAAAGTCTAAGTAGCCCATTATCCCCAGAATTCTAGGTTGGCGTGTTATTTTCCATATTTTTGCCTTTACCTTTATTTGAGAACTAGTAATTTAAAATACAGTAACTAGTCCTGGATACTCTATTTGTGCAGCTTTTTGTCCTTGATGTTTTCTATCAGATGTCAGGACATGACACTCTCATAAATGCCATTTTAATACCCCGGGAGGGGGAGAAGCCAGTGCGTCAACTCACCATTGGTGGGAATACGCCATGTTCAGGAGAATAGCTTGACCACTACTGCAATATCAAATTGAAATTTGTCCAAAATTTCACTTTTCCTTAAATTCTATGTATTTATTTCTTCTATCAGCCAAAATGTTCATCAAGGCCAACTGTATTAGTTTACTAGGACTGCCCTAACAATGGGGAGTATACAAAACATAAATTTATTTTCTCATGACTCTGGACACTCAATGTCTGAAATGGAGGGTTGGCAGGCTTGACTTTTGAGACCTCTTCCTAATTTGCAGAAGGTCATTGCCTGTGTCTTCACATTTTCCCCTCGTTACACGTCAGTATCCAGAATTTCTTCTCCTTCTCAGGATACCAGTCATATTGGGTTAGGATTAACTTGTAATGTTCTCCTTTAATTAAATTTCCTCTTTATACATCTTATCTTTAACTACATTGACATTCAAAGGTGCTGGGTTAGGGCCCCAACCTACGAATTTGGGTGTGTGTGTATGTGTATGTGTGTGCAATTTAGTTTATAAAGTACAGTGTGCTGTTAGTTGCTGTCACGTTCATTAAACCTTG